CACAACATTCTTAACAAACATTTAAGTTGTTGTTCAGTTTATTGGAAACATGTTTATCAAAACATTTCCGGAAAACATTTTGCAAATTATTTCCGGAAAAGCAATATTTGTATTCGGAAAACATGTTTGTGTAAAATTAATAAAATGTTTGTGAGAAGAAAACTTGTTGGAAACATGTTGGAAACATGTTCGGAACATGTTAGGAACATGTTTATTAAAACTTTTCCGGAAAACATATTTGTGTAAAGATAGAAAATGTTTGTGAGAAGCAAGCTTGCTTCAAGCATGTTGGAAACGTTGGGAACATGTTTATTAAAACTTTGTAGCTTAATGTTTTATATTCTACTTTAACAAATGATGCTTTAAAACACATTAAAATGTTCATTTATATATTCTATTTTAAAAGGCCAAGGAACAAAGTTGTTTCATTTATCCATTAAATAGCCTCTTAAAAACATTTTTATATCCTTTCAGGAATTTTCCGGAAATGTCTCAAATAAACATTTTAATACACTAAAAAGTATACTTTAGCGTTTGTGTTGCTTATTGCGTGATAAATAAATTTTAGTGGAAAAAATTTTCTAAAATTTTTGTTAATTTGATACGTGGGCATTTTAAGGACCTTTTAAAACACTTCTTTTTTACTATTTTTAATTGAAGCTTTTAAAATTTAAAATAAAAAAATTTTAAGTAAAAAAAGTAAATTTTTGTTGCCTTTGTTTTTATTTACAAAAAAAAACTTTTTCTTTGAAATTTTCAAAAATAAATAGACGATCAAATTTCTTATTTTTTAAGAAGCTAAAATAAATTTAAAGAAAAATAAATATTTTTAAAGAGAGATTTTTAAATTGATGTCATGATAAAATTGTAGCACTCACCATGGTTGTGCATGTCAGAACATGAATAATATTTCTCCAAAAATTCTCAAATTTTTAGGAATGTTAGATAAGACTCTTGTAGATGTCTGTGCAAAATTTTATGTCTTCATCTTCTCTTCTGGCTGAGTTATAAAGCTGCGCGCAAACGTTATTCAGCCTCTTCACGCCTATGTTACTCGAACATTTATTAATTTTTCTTCCAATTAGATTTTCTCCAAAAATTCTTAGACTTTTAGGAGTGATAGTTAAGACTCTTCGAGATGTTGTTGCAAAATTTCAAGTCATTACCTAGATCTCTGGCCGAGTTATAACGCTGCGCGCAAACGTCATTCAGCGTTTTCACGCCTATGTTACTCCAACTTTTTACTAATTTTGCTTCTTATTTAGATTTTCTTCAAAAATTTTTCAAATTTTTAGGAGTGATAGATAAGCCTCTTGGAAATGTCTGAACAAAATTTCAAGTCATTACCTTTACCCTTGGCCGAGTTATAACGCTGCGCGCAAACGTCGTACAGCATCTTTAACGCTTCCACCAGATTTATTAATTTTCTTCCTAATTAGAATTTTTTTAATTTTTATTTTCATTTAATATTTTTATTTTTCCTATTCATTCTCTTTTTAATTTTCCACTTATTTTCCTCATAATAAATCCCAAAAACAAAACAAAAAAAGACAATCAAAGCAATTAACCAAAACAACGGGAGGGAGAAGAACTGCAAACAAAAGCCCAAAAATAGCATAAATAAAAAGAAGAGGTATAAAAAGAGCAAAGTGAGGAAAAAATAGAAGAAATAAATAAAAATATACAAAAAAAGACGGAACAGAAAAAAATTTTTTTGTAGGCGTTGAACAATAGGTAGAAGACAAGGGGGAACTGGCAGAAGTGAAAAGAGAAGGAAGGAGCGAGTAAAAACTGGTTTGGAAAGATGAACAAAAAAAATAACAAGCAGTTGCAGTATATTTATATAAAAAAGCATTGTTTTGATGAAAATATGATGAAAATATGGGGGAGTTTTAAGAACAATTAAAGAAAAAATTTTTGGGTGCCCTGTAAGCACTCAAATACTTTATCTGCCTACTTCGAGCCTTAAAAGTTAGACTTATATTCTGATCTAGAAAATCTTGGCATGATTAAACGTATCTCTTCAAGCTGCGTTGAATGATATCAATATCGTCTTCCTACAACATTTTTAAGTTGAGTTACGACGACGAGCTTTTTGGCACCACTTGAAGCAACATAGATTAGCTAAGCTCCTCAAAATTTTTTTATCCTTATTGTAAAATTTAGAGTTTTATATCATTTTGTAGCTAATTTAATTCTCTATCTAATCATATCAACAATGTCTTCCTACGAAATTTTTAAGTTGAGTTATGGTTTGTGGACTGGCGCATCCTCTCACAGACCCTGTCTTAGTCTACTTTTTCATTCATAACTTTTTTGTTTATTAATTTAAAATTTAGAGTTTTATCTCATTTTGTAGCTAATTTAATTCTCTATCTACCCATATCAAAATATTTCCAAAAAGTTTCCCCGTTCTAAAGTTATCAAGCTTAGACTCAACCTATACCCATTTCATCTCTTTGTTGTTTCTCTCCCTCCTTCCTTTATTTGCCTTCCCCCAATTTCTTCCTCAATTGTTTGCTTCCAGAAATAGTATCTGAAACAAGTTTTTTAGTAAATTTTCTTCTTTTTTCTTCCCTCTTAAAAATTTTGCTTCGCTTTCGCTCATCATCGTTTGATCGCTGTTGAGAGAGAGAAAAACACCCACTGCCTTTTTAAAAAATGTTGTTTAGCGAAAAACAGTGGAAAACTGGCCCTCTCACACCTGATATGTATTTAAATATATATTTACTTCAATTACAGTGCAGAAAAAATTTTTTGATTAATCCAAAAGATCAAAAATTTTGGGGAGCTCAGCAAATCTATGTTGTTTTAAGTGGTGCCAAAAAGCTCGTAATAAGATAACTTTTTCCTTAATTTCCCTATAATCTTTTTACATATTGTTAGACTCTAAAGTTAAATCCGAGAGCTAGGTGGACTTTGATTAAAAGGCCAAAAAGGAAATTCACGTGAATAGGGAAAGGCGGAATTCATACGCTAGGCAATAGGAAGTTGCAAAGTGTAATCAGTGAGAAACAAGCGATAGACCCGCCTATAGAGAAGAAGCTTATAATCAAAAGGAAAATAGGGAAAAGCGCTTCAGTCGGCCTGGACTGTGAGTCACTCTTTTATCCAGTTGAAGCAAAAGCAAGCTTGCAGAGGAAGTAAGCAAGCTTGCAGAGGAAGTAAACACTGGATTTGCCACTCTAGGGACACAAATCGAAAGCTGTGCTGAAAGAATGGAAGCCCGGACCAAAGAAAAATCTAGATCACTGTCACCCATAATAAGATCTATAAGCCGAAAACCACAGAGCTCACCGAAAAGTAAAATATTAACATTTTCAGATGAAAGCGACGCTGCTCTAAACATTAACATCCAAAGCAACGATGACAATAGGAACGACAACATTGATCAAAATACTGAACACACTATCAATATGCTTCACCATGAAGGAATACCGCCTCTGGAAATCTACTCTGAAGACAGTCTGGTAACATTTGATAAATGGAGTAAAAAGTTTTTAGAAAGAATTAAAGTATTTGGGGCAAAACTTTCTGAGGAAGAAAAATTAAATCGACTTTCATTATTTTTAGAAGACACTCCAAAACAAATTTTAGAAAAACTAGAACCTGTTAAAAAGGCAACTGTCCAAGATGCAATTAAATTTATTAGAAAAGAACTAGATTCGCCACAACGCCGAGTGCTCTCCCGACAGGCACTCTCCTTTTGCAAACAACATGAAAATGAAAATGTCAAAGACTTTCTGGCACGCTTTAGACCTATTGCTTTAGCAACAGCAACTGATTATGAAGGTCCTGCTTTAGAACGACATTTATGTGAACTTCTACTTGAACGACTAAAGCCAAGCATCTCGTTCTACATGAAATTATTAAACTTCACGCAAACTGGTAGAAGTTTTGAACAACTATGCATGGACGCTCGAGAAGTTGAAATAATGCTCCCGGCTGTTAGTGGAAATGCTCCTCTCAATGCAACACAACATGAACACTCTCAACTGAACGCCGTACAACAAGAACAATCCAATTACATGATCAAGCCAGGTAGGTTTCAAACTTTGAATCAAACTAATCCAAACAGAGAACAACCTCGAAATGGCTGGAGATACAATCCAAACGGGTCTTATCCAAGAAACCAAAATAATTCTAGATATTTTCAGGGCAACAACCGAAGTCGACAACAAATAAGAGCACCTGACAACGAACGACGATGGAATAATCGACCTGTATGCAACTACTGTCAAAAAGTTGGACATTTTGCCGCCAATTGCCGTACCCGCTTGACTGACTACATGAACAGACAAAATGGAAATCCTCAAATGGTACAAGGTACATCTAATCAAAGCAAAGATGAAAGGTATAGTGATACTTTATTAAAAGAAATTTTAACGGGAATTCGTAATCTACAAACTTGTTCTCAAAATTCGGCTGGACCATCACAGCAAAATTTAAATTCCATTGAAGTTGGGAATAAAAAGCCAGTACAAGCAAATGAGAATAAAAATCCTTCTAAAAAGGAGTCTGAAATAAAAATTTCTTCTTGGGAATCGAAATCCATAGGACCAAAACTATTTCCTTTACTAATGCTAATTGCACTAATAACATCATGCGGCGCAACATTTAGCGTCCCGACACCTCGTATGCCTATGATTTGCCAAATGGAAAAACAATCAACGATTTGGGCATTACCACAACTCGCGCACTGCCCATCGCTAGAAAATAACGTGTCACACATACCAGTACCACAAACCAGGTCTCTATATGTTTTAAATGACTTAGAGTATACCACAGAAGGTTGGGCTTGTAGAAAAATAAAGAAATCAATTAGAAAATTTACCACACTTTCTAATGTACCTGTTAATGAGGCAATAGGTTCAGAAATGCTAGAAGTAACAAAAGAAGAATGCACGCGTATGATTAAAGAAAAGCAATGTAGTTTAGGCGCATTGACTAAAGAAAATGATATCTGGAGTACACAAAATAAATTAGATGTTAGTCCAAAAATGTGGCTACTAGGTTCCTTTTGGTGGACCACTGTATCCGTCGAAAATTGTTTATTGTTTAATTTACAAATTAACTCACACTGGGGCGAGCCTGTTATTAGAACTCCACTAGGAAGCACGAATAACTGCTCATATGCTATAGGTAACTGCACATTGGAAGATAAAACGGTCCTTGAATGGGTCCCAAATAAAAATCAATTATGTAGATATTTAAAGTTTGGGGAGTATAATGGGAAAATTTTGGACAATACTTGGCTTTCAGACGATGCACAATTAGCACTGCACTTTAGTAAACCTACTAATAAATTAACTGACTGTGGAATAGAATTAGAAGTCTCAGAACAAGGATTTGCCACAACAATAAAATCGACAAGACCTAAAAGAAGCTTAAACACTGAAAAACTGGGTATAGTAACTTCGCCTGAAATGGCTGCTGAACTAACGTATCTTGACACACAACTAGCCGAAACACTAACATTTACTTTTACTCACTCACTTAAAGCACTTTGTGACCATTTAGAAGAAGTAAAAAGATGGGCACTAGCCTCGCTTATTTCTAATCCCACTGATCTTGCAAGAATAATATTTGGAAATAATTATTTAATTGCAAAACGTGAAGGCTCCTCTTTATTAAGAATTTGGCCATGTATTGCACTAAAAGAGGAAGAATTTAATTTTATTCCAACTAATTTAGAAGAATGTTTTGAACTCATTCCCATTCAACTAACTACTGAAAATCAAACACATTTGGCGTTCTTAGACCCAACGACAATGATAGTTCAACCAACATCAAAGAAAGCACCATGTGCACAATTTAAAAATTTAATTTTAGAACTGAACCATAACACTTTAGAAATTAATCAACTAACTGGGGAAGTAAAAACGGTCCATCCAAGATTAATTAAAAAGAATGAATTAAGGGCTTTTGACATACCTGAAATTAAGGCCCACTCATTTCACCAACTAGTCTTAGTAAACCTAACAGACATTAACACTCACACTTACATGACTAACTTTGCCAAATTAAGTGAACTGTCATACCGAATTGAAAGTAAAGACATGATTATAACCAAAACACTTTCAGAACAGTGGAAGGAAGCAAGCATGAATTTAACAAAAGAAGTATTAGGTGACTATACTTGGGCTTGGAAAGTAATAGCAACAATTTTAATCTCAATCCTAACCTTAGACTTAATTATTCGTTGGGGTTTGAAAATTTTAGAAGTCTATTTAGGAGATGGGCGTTTAGGCCGACTATTAATTGGGAAAAATGTACTTAATAATACACAAAAAGCTTTGGATGCTACGGCATCTACTAATCACTCTCATGACATAAAAGAAAATGGCTTGAGACAAGAAAACAAACAAGAGGTTAAATCATGGATCCCCAAGGTATCTAAGTATCCTAGTCCAGACATAACACCGGATCAAGTAGTCAACACACTTACAATAGGACATCAAATAAATTCAGTCTATCCGAGTACCGCAGTCACAAGAATTTTAATTAATAATAAACCGCTTAACTGCTTAATTGATACTGGTGCAAGCATTTCAATTGCTCCTCTATCCTTAGCTAAATTTTTAGAAGCAAGTATAGAACCCACAAAAATAGGTATAACCTCCGCCTCAGGGCATGAAATCTCAGCTAATGCATCAATGCACGTTCTTATGGATATAAGTGGTCATAAACAAATTGCTAAAATTAATCTCGTAGAGGACAATCAATTAATTGAGAGGCGAAATTACCAATTAATAATAGGATGCGACGTACTAAAAACATTGCCGACGGTAACTTTTGACTTTCCAAAAGGTAAAATTTGGATTGGAAATAAATCACTAAACTTGGGCACAGGTAACCTACCTTTATTAACAAATGTTAGGATTGCAACTCTTGAATCTATAACAATTCCTCCAGGGACAAATAAAATAGTCAATGCGAAACTCGAAACAACTTGCGACTTTGAACATGCAATTTCACATTCATTAGATGAACGCTTAAGTTCTGAAAATCTCGGTCTAATTAGTACTGTATTTAAAGCTTCCGACAAAATTGCTAGTTTATTAATAACAAATCCAACTAACGCCCCTAAACATATTTGTAAGGGCATGCACATAGCCTATGCTAATGAACTAAAGGAAAGTGATGAAGGGCCGTGGTTAACAGAAAATACTAAAAATAATTTTAGTGAATTAAATAAATTTCGTGTACTTGAAAATATGGTTAATGCTTTAGACGAAGACCCTGCTTTTAAAATAGATTTTTCAAAAAGTTCCGTTACGGGAAATGACTTACAAAAATTAAAGGACCTATGCGAGGAATTCTCTGACATATTTAGTAAAAGTCAATATGATCTTGGGTCATGCTTAGTAGGGGAGCATGACATAATTACAACCACTGATGAACCAATTTCTACTAGACCTCACAGAGTTCCATTTAAGTATCAAGAAGAATTCCACGAACATATTGACAAATTACTTAAATCAGGGGTTTTAATTAAGTCTGATACACCATGGGTTTCAAACATTGTTCTTGTCCAGAAAAAGGACGGAGGACTCAGACCATGCATAGACTTTAGGAAACTCAACGAAATAACTGTTCCGGACCACTTTCCACTTCCTAGATTTGAAACAATTATGGAAAAAGTAGGAAGTTGTAGCTTTTATTCACTGCTAGATTTGTCCAGTGGCTATTTACAAATTAGGCTCACTGAGCGAGCGTCACGCAAATGTGGACTCATAACTGAAAATGAAATTTATCAAATGACTCACATGCCTTTCGGACTTAAAAATGCGACAAGCGCGTTTGCACGTGTAATGGCACATGTAATTAGTGGACTTGAAGATAGTGTCATAGCTTATGTAGACGACTTTTTAATTTTTACCAAAGCTCCTGAATTTGAAAAGCATCTCGATGCCCTTAGGCAAGTATTTGACAGATTAAGGAAATATTATCTGAAAGTAAGCCCGAAAAAATGTATACTAGCCTCTACCCAAATGAACTTTCTAGGACACACAATTAATTCCTCAGGCTATTCCCCAAGTCTAAGCAAAGTAGAAACAATAACAAACCTTCCAGTACCTAAAACCCTCAAGGAAGTAAGACATTGTGTTGGGATGGCTTCCTTTTTCAGAAAACACATACCAAACTTTTCAATGATTGTTGAGCCACTCACTAGACTCACACGAAAGGAAATCACATTTAAATGGGAAGAAGAACAGCAAAAAGCTTTTGAAGAAATTAAAAAGATTTTAAGCAGCGAACCAGTTCTTGTATTTCCCAACTACAATGAACCATTTCATGTTTTCACGGATGCATCGCAAACTGGACAGGGTGGAGCACTCATGCAAAAAGATAAAGAGAAAAACACTTACAAAGCAATCGCATACTGTAGCAGATCCTTATCAAACTCAGAGCGCAAATGGCCCCCAGTACAAATTGAGCTAGGCGCGATTATTTATGCACTGCGTCAATTTCGTCCATTTATATACATGGCAGAAGTAGAACTACACACCGACCATAAACCGCTGGCATATCTCATGGAAAAGGCACAAGCACACCCGAATCTAGCGCGCTGGCTAATAGAGTTACAGAATTACAACATAAAAATTGTTCACGTATCAGGTAAAGAAAATTTATTAGCTGACGCACTCTCAAGAGCCATCACAAAAGAAGACACAGAAAGTAAAGAGCTAGAAGACATAGCAGAATTCCCAGTATGCCTCAACCTACAACAAAATGAAATTTTAAATATAGAAGATTATATTCCGAGAATAACGCTAAAAAGACAGGACGGGCAAAGATATTCAATCAATATTTTAAAAGAACAGGAAGATGATTTTGAAGCTTCAGCCTTTGCTAAGTTTATAGTTTCAGGAGAAATTCCAAAAGAAATTCCCACAGAGGATGAAGAAAATTTTACACTAGCAGCAGCGAACCTTGAATTATCAAATGGGGTCCTCTATCAGAAAATAGGTGATTTGAAACCACGTCTTTTCATACCAGCCTCACTTAGGGCACTAATTTTTGATTCATTCCACTCATCACAATTAGGCGGGGGACACATGGACTTAAAGAAAACTCTCAAAAAATGTAGAAAATATTACTGGCCTAGAATGCACTCCGACATTTTAAGATGGACGCGCAACTGCATAACTTGCCAATTAAGACATTCACCTAATCCTCCGTACAGAGCTGAAATGTATATGGTCCCATCCAACACACTTTTCGCAAAAGTTGGGCTTGATTTAGCAGGACCATTCCCAGTAACCCAGAAAGGAAACAAACACTTAATGAATATAATCTGCTGGTTCACGAAGTATGTAATTGCCGTACCAGTCCCAGACACAAAAGCAATAACACTAGCACGCGCATTTTTAACTAACTGCTACCTCAAATTTGGAGGCTGCACTGAACTAATCACAGACAATGCTACTGCATTTACTAGCGAATTTTTCCGAGATTTTTGCTCAATGCTCTATATAAATAAAAGTTATGCCACTCCTCACTGGTCGCAGGGCAACGCTGTGACGGAAAGATCCTTTAGAACTTTCCATAATATTATTTCAAAATATATTAGTAAAGACCAGCCAGACTTTGACGAACTCATAGACGCCGCAAGCTTTTGCTATAACACATCAATTCACACTTCTACAGGGGAAACACCCTTTTTCCTGATGTTTGGAAGGGATCCCATATTTTGTATAGATCAAATAATAGACCCTTCGATAAGCAACTCTATGATTAGCAATGACATTTCCGAATTTAAACAAAAATTAGTCACATCAATAAGGACTGCATGGGAAGCTGCCGCGGAAGCGAACAAGCACGCGCAACTAAAAGCTAAAGAACAATATGATAAATTATTAAGAAACCCCACAATAACGGTAGGAGACAGAGTTCTCTTGAGAAATTATGCAGGCAAAGTAGGAACTTCGAAGAAATTTCATATGCCTTGGAAAGGTATATTCAGGGCTGTAAAAATAGAAGGACCACACGTAACAATTACTAGTTGCAACTCACCTAGCGCAGCTCCAAGGGTAGTACACATAAACCAATTAAAGAAATGTTTTGAAGAATTACCCCCTGCTTGTACAAGTCCCAAATTATCACCTGAAGAAGAGAAATGCCTATATGAGGCAGGCTTAGGAGGAAACGAGACACAAGACTTTACAAATAATAACGAAATTGAAAAGGTTAGAAATACAGTTGAGAGAGAAAAGAGTCCAGAGTTAGAAGAAATCCCACCTCAAAAACAAAAGAGATATAACTTAAGGGTAAATCCAAAACCCCGTAGGCTGTCCATTGAATAAAACTAGACTTTTCCAAAAATACACACACAAAACTTATGGTAAATAAATACACACACAAAATAAATCTCATTCCATACCCGGTTTAAAATTTATTTCACATTCCAAATCCATAATTTTCCAAAATTATTTTTCTCCCCTTTCACATTAATCCTCCATTTTGATCGCGTTATTATTTCAATTTTTTTTTTCTATTTCAATAATAATTTAAATTTTTTTTATTTTCAGTTAATTATGGAAAAATTTAAAGAAAAACCTGAAATACGTCGAAAAGGCCGTGGAGTTTTTACAACAATTCCTGGCATCACTCATTCAAAATTGGATACTTCGGTATCTACTAATGTCTCAGCGGGTGCTAGTGCATCTTCTGATTTTAACTTGGATACTTCGGTATCTACTGCTATATTAATACCTGCTGGAGCAGTTATTAATCCAAATCTTGATACTACGGTATCGAAAAAAGAAGTTGAAATTGATAAAATTCTGGAAAAAACTGTAGAAGAGAAAGGATTAGATCCGAAAGAAGTGACGGAGAGCATGGAAAAGCTCTTACTCGAAGAAGATATGGAGACTGACGAGTGGGAAAAATCGGATACTTGGGAAGAGGAAAAGAAGACAAACAAAAATGCTAAAATTCCAAAATTTGCTAATGAAGGATTTGCGGCATTGTCGCACCCAGAAGAAGAAGAATTTAAAGAAGTTAAAAGAAAGGAAAAGAAGAAAGAAAAATCATTGGATACTTCGGTATCTACTAGTTATTTTTCACTCGATGATCAAACATCGGGTAAAAATTTGAAAGTCAAACGTTATGTCATAGCGCAGATGCTAGACAAAAAATTGATTGCGGTTCACCCTAATCCGACTGATTTGAAACAATGGCCCTTATTTTTGGAAATACCCGATGAATTAAAATTGGATTCGGAAAGGCCTCTCTGCTTAGGAGACAGCGTAATTATTTCGAAATATAATTGGATTGAGGGGAGAAGAGAAATTGACACAGCTAACTGGATGTTTCAGAGCCGAATTAATGCCCAGGCCATAGCTTTAGAAATTCTGGATGTTTCGCTAGCCCCGTGGGTATTTAACACTGGTTTTGTTGTGGATATTAAAAAGCGAAAAGGAAAAGAAGTTAAAAATACTATGGGCTCAGCGCTTGTAGTTGCTTTCGGAATGGAGCGAACTGCGAAACTTTTTAACCGACAATGCGCAGAAGATCTCGACTTTGAGAATCTTCAAAGGGGAAGCCTGCTTGATATGCAACTAGCGAAAATTCCAGAAGGGTGGCTAATCGGAGGAGCCTATATACTACCACCTGGGTCACGAATAAGACACGGAACTGAAATTCTAGCCAAAGAAAATTCTCATGTTCTAGCTATAGCCATGCCACATCGAGAAAAATGGCGTTGGTTAGCACGAAATAAAACCCCAATTTTCTTCCCAATCACTCCTGACTACACAATTAAGGAAATAAAATTCGCAGAAAACATAATGGCAGGCGCACTTATAGCTGCTAGCGAAATTGAGGAGATTGCAAGATATGAAACAATGTTCCAAGGAAGTGTAGGTTTAAGAGTTAAAGGAGAAAGAAGAAATTTCTTTATAGCGTTTGAATCCACAGACAGAAGTTACACAAAGAAAATTTGTGAAGTTTGGTCAAAAGACACATCCATTGCCGCTTACACAAACCTGTATTCAAAAGCATTTGGTCATGGTTTTATAAAAGAAATTGAAAAGAAAATATATGAAGATTTAATAACCATTGAAATTGATATATTTTTGATGCCAAACCCAGAAACCATAGAGCAGGAAGAAGATTTTGAATTTATGGTAGAAGGAGGAGATGTATTCATTCGGACCACAGAAGAAGGTGGCGGAATGAGAGCGCAGGCAAATACTCTAGGCTTTAATTTACCATCCTCAATTATTGAAAAAGAAAAATCGAAAAGGGCAGAAATTTTGAAAGCAATTCTTGGTCGTCGAGGGCCCGACGAATTGAAGGGGGGAGCCGCTTTAGGGAATCTCGACCTTGAATGCACGCGCCAACTAAACACACAGCAGAAGGCCACGCTTGCAAACTGGCTTGATGAAGGGACCGGGCGGGTGCACTATCAACAAGCCCCGCCCGGGACCGGAAAGACCAGGGTTGCAGCGGCCTGTGTGGCAGCAGCTGTAAGCCAAAAGCCCGGGTGCGCTGTTCTTGGCACCGCGGCAGCTAATTTACCCATTTCCCGGTTAGTTGAGGAAGTTGAAAGGACTATGCCAGACAAAGACATGGTCGCCTTCTTCAGCGGTATGGCTAAAGTCAGATATAATGAACACATTGCTGTTTTAGAAAAGCAACTCCTTGCTGCAAAAGTTAAGCGAAATGAGTATAAAAGCAAACTTGAAAATCCCGAAATAAGGGATGTTGAGAAATATTTGGAAATGATTGATACCCGCCCTCGACATGCTGCTGAACGAAAAGTAGGGAAGGTATTACAAGAAAAAGATTTTAGAAATGTGGCGTTTGCGACTATACAAATGGCATTGGCAATCCCCGGGGCACACAATTCCACGTCCCACTTAGTTGTTGATGAAGCCACTCAGGTTTCGTACACCTCTTTGGTACATCTAGTGTGTCAAATGCCGAGTCTGGTCTCCCTTCTCTTGACGGGAGATCTCAGACAAATTGGGGTGCATTTAAAGGATCTTCCGGATTTATTACACACAGGCTTTGGACTTGAATCGATTACGTGCCAGGTTGAACACTGTCCGCGTATTTCCATGACTGCTCTTGAAATGTGTTATAGAGCTCATCCCACGTTAGTGACCTGTTTCGATTACTCTTCATATCGCCAACATAATGAAAAGGTTTTACCTGCAATAAAGGCGGAGGATAGAAAGGGACTTACGCACTTGGGTGTAAATCTTCCTATCGCTAACATTCCTCTAGTGCTGTTGAATATTTGTGGGACTACCCAAGTGGACCCGGCGTCTTATAGTGTCATGAACCCCGAACAACATAACGCAGCGCTAAGAATTGTAGAAGCGCTAGAGAAAAGAGACCCGGGTGGAGTGGTGGTGATATGTCTTTACTCTTATGAAGCGGAATGCCTCCGTAAGGAATTGAGAGAAATGGGCTTAGAAGTGGGAGTACATACTACGGATGCCTTTCAGGCGCAGGAAAAAAGGCTAGTTGTATTAGTAACTACGCGCACACAGAACACAGCTGCAAAATCAAAGCCCGCTGCATCAGAATTTCTGAAAGACTCGAGGCGCGCGACGGTAGCGCTGACGCGCGCACAGCATGGAATGGTCATCATAGCCGATTTCCAATCTCTGAGCGAAGGGGAAGTCTGGGCCCGGTTCGTAGAAGAAGCGCAAAAACATACCCCAATTGTAAATGAAGGATATTTAGAGGTGATGGAAATGGAGGATCCTTCAAGAGGGGCTGGCGGAATTCTACAGGACCGAAAAGGATGGTCGCTACAAGCAGTGCGGAAAGAAATTCAAATGGTTGAAGAAAGTCGTCGCAAGGGCGACAGAATGTGCAACCGTTGTGGAGGCCGTGGACACATGGCGAGAGACTGCCGACGAAATTAAGTGGTGAGAAAGAGGCAGAGAAAAGGTGGGCCTAATTTATTTCAAAAAATGTAATTTAAAATTAAAAATAAGACCAGGGACGGTCTTCCGTGGGGTGGAAGGTGTTAGACTCTAAAGTTAAATCCGAGAGCTAGGTGGACTTTGATTAAAAGGCCAAAAAGGAAATTCACGTGAATAGGGAAAGGCGGAATTCATACGCTAGGCAATAGGAAGTTGCAAAGTGTAATCAGTGAGAAACAAGCGATAGACCCGCCTATAGAGAAGAAGCTTATAATCAAAAGGAAAATAGGGAAAAGCGCTTCAGTCGGCCTGGACTGTGAGTCACTCTTTTATCCAGTTGAAGAACATTCCAACTGAGCTTATATTATTGATTACGGTCAGCTATATGCTAGATCAAGCGGCATGTCGAAACCATTACCCCTACTTAGCTCTAACACCTCTGGGATTCTAATATCTTCCACCTTCAATTCCTCATTCTTAAATAGGCGGGCCCCTATTTAACTATATTAATATTTATAATTCCCCGGATTCCCTTCCCAGTTTCCCCAGCTTTTTGCAATGAAAAAAATTTAGTCGGTATTCAGAAAAAAATTTTTTTCAAATTTATTTTTGGGGCCTAATTTGGTTCATTTAAATTGACGTAAAATATTTATATAAATAATTTTAAAATAAAATAAACTAAAAACTAAGCATCATTCTCAACGTGGAAATTTGCAAAAAATTTTAAAAAATTAAAAAAAATTTTTTGCTTTTTATAAACTACAAAAATTGCTTCTCCACGTATTAAATGATGTGAGTGATTATGATGTTGATTAATTAAAAAAATTTTTTTTTATTTTACACGTCTCAAAAATTTAATTTAAATAATCCTTCATTTTTCATCTTTTATGCTTCCAAATTTATTTCCCTTCTTAAAGATAAGCAAGTTTTCATTTTGAGTCCCTAATACACACTAAAACATTTCCGTTTGTTTCAAGTTTTTAGAATGTTTCTAAAAATGTTTAGAATGTTTTAAACATAATGTTTTGTTCGTTTGGAATATTTGACAAAACAAGTTTTACAAAAGAGTAAAGGTTGTAATAAATGTTCGTGATGTTTAAATGTTTGTGAAAGAATGTTGGATGTTGTAAAAAGTTGACAACAACAAACTTTTTTTACAAACTTCCAACATTCTATTCTAAACATTTATTACAACTTTTTCTCATTACAACTTAAATACTTGTTTTTAAACTTTATAATGTTTGATGTTATGTTTTGAATGTTTTATTATATAAGCAGAGGTTTTGTTTGTTTGGAAACATGTTTTAATGAATATTTGAACACGCGAATATGTTTTTGTAATTTTTTTGAATGTTTAGATGTTTGAATGTTTTGATGTTTGAATGTTTTGATGTTTGAATATTTTGATGTTCGAATGTTTTGATGCTTGAATGTTTAGATGTTTGAATGTTTTGATGTTCGAATGTTTTGATGTTTGAATGTTTTTTTGACTGTTTAGATGTTTGAATGTTTCCAATATTTAAATGTTTTTGCTATTTATATGTTTGGGAGGCCAAGTTTAAATCATAGATCCAATGGTTGATATTCAGGGTTACCTAAAAACAGTAGAAACAAACAACATTTTCTTCTTCTATCAACTAAATCCCCCTCCTCTTTTTTTCTTTGTCATATCGTCCTTTTCACTTGAAATCAACAAAACAGAAAAACCGGTATTTTTATTTCTCCCTTCTTTTTTATCCCACAAACTTTTTCTCTCTCTTCTCCTCGCGTTTTGTTGTTGATATTATTTATAAATAAATTCCTGTTTTGTTGTTGTTGTGTTCTTCAATGACTGGTTTTGTTTTTATATATTTTTATTTATATATATTTATTTTTCCTTTTTATTTAACACACACACAACACTTTTCAAACAAACACTTTACTTTTCTACTTTAACAACCAAAACAACAAACATCCCCAAAAACATGTTTTTGGGAAAAATATTAATTTAATTAAGTTGTGCGCAAAAACATTTTACTCTCTGGGAGACTTTTAGGGGTTGATAGTGCTTGCGCGATCGTTTATAAAATTGTTAGTTGAGCACTTGTAGACATGAAATTTTGCAAGGATATCCCTAATTGTCTTATCTAGTATCTTTAAAAATTCCAGAATTTTAGGTTTATTATTTGGTAAGTTATGGTTTGGCAACTTTCATGGGAGGGTGAGACATTTTTAGGGGTTGATAGCGCTTGCGCGATCGCTTATAAAATTGTTAGTTGAGCACTTGTAGACCTGAAATTTTGCCAGATTATCTCCAATAGTCTTATCTAGCTTCTCTAAAAATTTCAGAATTTTTGGTTTATTATTTGGTAAGTTATGGTTTGGCAACTTTCATGGGAGGGTGAGACATTTTTAGGGCTTGACAGAGCTTGCGCGATCGCTTATAAAACTGTTAGTTGAGCACTTAGAGATCTGAAATTTTTCAAGGATATCCATAATGTCTCAACTAACTTGTCTAAAAATTTTAAAATTTTTGGATCATTTTTAGGAATGATATGAACCAAAATGTTTGTACAGTCAAAAAATGCTTACCTCTTGTTAATTTTTTACCCATAACTTTCGGTATACTCAACCAAAAATTCTTAAATTTTTAGTAGGCTTAGTTAACACTCTTTGAGGCATCCTTACGAATTTTGAGAACTTTAACCTTCTCATTTGGCATAATTATAACCAAAATGCTACAACGCAACTTTAAGTATTTTTGGCGTTTCCTCATTAAACTTTTTATTTTTTGCGCACATTTCCCCAAAGATAATTTCTAAACAAGTTACTTGTTTTTATCGGCCCAGAGGCAGCCTGCCAACACACATATAATAACAGCTACAGCTAACAGCTGCTTATACATGATTATAACAAGCAGAAAAAAATGCTGAAAGGAGTAGTTAGCAAGCAGTCTCATCCTGCCCCTCCTCATTTTCTCTCTCTCTCAATAAATAATAAAAATAATAATAAAGCTTGAATAGCGAAAGCTGTTTTGATGAATTTTTAGTTCATTTTTGGGGAGTTTTTTTGTATTTTTTATTTAAAAAATATTTTTTTATTTTTTTATTAAAAAATATTTTTTTCCCTTGATTTAAATTATTTTTGTATTTTTAAATTTTTATTTTTTCGTCTCACTTAATTGTATATTTATTTTAATAATTAATGCAAACCTGTTATAATTTATTTTTTACCTCATTTACCATTCTATGGTTTGTTTCACATATTTGTTGGGTATGTGTGTTGTTTTGGAAAAGAATTTGTTTTGTATGTTTTAAATGTTTCTCTCAGTTGTATCCGTTCAAGAACATGTTTAAGAGTTTCGCACAACATTGTTTAAAACAATGTTTTTTCGAATATCAAAACATTTCTTTTATAAACATTTTATTTCCGTGATAAAAACATTCTTCAAAACATTTAAGCTTAAACATCTAAATAAAAACATTAAAACATTAAATTAGAATAGCTTGTTTTGTTGTGATTTTTACCAACTTTTTTACAAACATCCAACATTCTTTCACAAACATTTATTAAAACATTTTTTTACAAAACTTATTCTTCCAAACATTCAAAACATTATTTTTAAAGCATTCAAAACATTTCCTTTACAACCTACAAAACATGTTTATTTTTATTTGTTCAAAACATTCCCTTCTTTTAAAAACATGTTTGATGTTTTGTTGAATGTTTTTCTCTCTATTTTTCTCTCACAATGTTTTATTATTTTTTCCTTTGTTTGTATTTTAAATTGTTTTTATTAGTTTTCAAAACATCCACGTACTCTCTTATTTCTTTGTTTTGTTGAGAAATTAAATAAACACCCTCCCCTTTCTTTCTCTTAAAAATCTTACTAAAAAATAAGGAAGAAAATTTATTTTTATTTACTGGTCACGATTTTTATTTTTTATTTATTAAAAAGCTTTTTGAATTAGTCAAGAGAGATTTTTGGATTGAAAAAAAAATAAAAAAAATAAGGGAAGAAATTTCCGTTGAATTTTGTGGAGAAGGGAACAACGCCCTTTTGGTTACACAACAATCTGCGCTAGTTTTGTATGTTATTTTGACCCTTATACTTTGTATGCTTCTTCCTTCTCTTAATCTCCGCACGTATTTTTTAAAAGGGATTTGATATATCCAATAGGTCAACGTTCAAAATAACAATTAAAAATACCCACACGATATTTAGCAGAGTGCTTCAGAAGCATTCAGAAGCAACAAAGTGTTTCTAAAAGTTGCTTCTGCTTCAAAAATTGCTTCAATAATTGAAAATTGATTCTGAAACATGTTTCTTTAAGTTTAGTGTATTCTGTAGGTTGCTTCTATATTTCTACGATTTGCTCTATATTCTTGAAGCATGCTTCTATAACTCTGAAGCATGTCTCCACACTTCTGAAGCATGCTTCCATACTTGCAAACGTGCTTTTATGCTTTTGAAGCATGCTTCTATACATGTGAAGCATGTTTCTATACTTCTCAACATGCTTCCATACACTTTTTAAGCTTCATTCTTGCTTCAATTTTTTTGCTTCAATTTTTACCCCTTGTCTTGCTTCATATTTTACTTTTTTGCTTCAACTTTTTGTTTTTGCTTCACTTTTAATTTTGCTTCCACTTTTGCTTTTGCTTCCACTTTTGCTTCATTCATTTTAAAAATACTTTTTGGGGATCTTGATCTTATGGGTAGCCCTATTTATCCTCTTATATAATTTTGACGAGGAAGGGAAGATTTGCTTTTGATGGACAAAGAAAGAAGCAAATTTAGGGGGGGTGTTTATTTGGGTAGTTAGTAGTGCTAACTAAAAAAGAGGGTCATTCGTCAAAGAGAATCCAAAGAGAGAATCTCTTCTTCTTTTTTCTCGTAACTAGCTACTTTTTGAAGATTGAAAAAAAAAATTTTTTTTAGAAAAAATTAAAATGACTGCCCCAATTTTTATCCCTCCGCGGCGCTCTGATGACCCAAATATTTTTTTTCGGTTGCGCAAAAGTTTTTTTTTAATTTTTTCTTGTGGGGGGCAATTGCCCTTATTTTTCGTTTATTAAAAAATTAAAATAAAATGCTTTCAGAAAAAAAAACTGGTTGAAAAATTCTGTGCTTTTCTCATCTTTCATTTTATTTTTATATTTTTCTGTGTCATCCCTTTTTGGTAGAAAAAATTTATTTTTATATAATTTTTATTTTTAGAGAAAATTTTTAGTTGGAAGTTCTCTAAAACGTCATCCATTCCTCTCAGGTCCCTTCTCAGGTAACTCCTCATACTTCCCTTACAACGTCCCTCTCTCACTTTTCCAGACCCCCTCAAGGTCCCAAGGATGTTCCTGTCCCTCTTTGACATTCCCTCCTATGTAACTTCCCTATTGGAAGCTCTCTATAAATCCATTCCTCTCATTTGTCAGTCACTCTCTCCTTACGTCCCCTCCAACTCTCTCCCTTCCCAAACCTTCTCAATTAGGTCCCATGGCTGTTTCTGATCTTCTTCGGCATTCCCTCCTATATCACTTCCTCTCCTATACTCCCCCTTACGTCCCTTCCCAACACTATCCTTTTCCAGATCCTCTCAATCCTGTCCCAAGGATGTTACTGGCCGTTCTTCCAACGTCTCCTCTTCCAAGCCCCCTCAAGGTCCCAAGACTTTCTGGCCCTCTTCGGCATTCTATCCTATGTCATTTCCCATCCTATTATAAGCTCTCTATTACGTGTCCACACTTGGGACGCTTGGGGAGTTAACGTCCTTAAAGAGAGCTTTCATTATGAAAGAACCATTAGTCAACCCGATCCGGAGGATGTTTTTGGTCTGCTTTGACGTCCAAACTCTTTCCGTCACTTCCTTCTTATGTGGGCAAAATTTCGACCCACCTTTTTTCCCTCTATTTTTTAAAGGAGAGCAGTTGAGGAGTTTCAATGCCAACAGGGATACCTCGAGGAAATGGGTGACTTACATATTAAACAAACTTTAATACCTTTAAAAAATAATTTTTCTGATAAATTTAAAAGGTTGTGTGGGGGTTATTTTAAATGTTGTGTTGATAGAGGGGGATTTTTTTTGATTAAAACACCTCAAGTAAAAATGACTAGTATTTTTTGTATAGTCATATTTACTTGAATCATTTAATTTTTTTAAAATTTCAAAATTTATTTAAACAGCTGCAGAAACCTTTTATTTTATTTATTTTTTTAGTTTGTTTTAAGGTTTGTACTCTCTCCCCAACATTACCCCTCCTTTTTTTTATTTTTTCCAACACCAATCATCATCATAATATTATGCCCCCTTTTAAAATTGGAAAAATTTAGAAGAAAAAAATTTTTGAGAAAAATCCAGTTCTCTAAAAAAATTTTTATTTTTTTATTTTATGTTTGCCATTTTTCATTATTCTTCCTTTAATTTTTCTTTAAATTTTTTAGAATTTTTTTAAATTTACTTGCAACCTATTTATTTTTTAATTTAGCAAAAATTGTTGGGAGGGTGAAGGTTTAATGCCTGTTTTTTTTTCAAATAATTTTTTTAAAAATTCCTAAAAAATTTTTTTGAAAGATTTCTTTCATCTTCAGTATCCTTATTTCCGATATTTCGAAAGATTTTTCTATTTTGGGCTTTTTGAAAAAATTTGAAAAAATTTTCACGTATGGACGTTTTGGAAGATTTTTAGGTTATTGGGCATTTTGACGTTTTTTCTTTTTTTTTTAATTTCTGATGGGTATTTTGAAATATTTTTTGAGAGGTTTATACATTTTGAAATATTTTTGTCTTTTAGATATTTTGAAAAAAAATTTTTTAATTTATTTTTTTAATTTTTCTTGTGGAGGGAAATTAAGGTGTGGGAGGAAATTAAAGGTGAACTAAGGTGTATTAATAATTCAAAAATTTTTTTTAAAAAATGTTCTACTTAAAAATCACTCTTTTTACTGTTCTTTAGACTTGTAAAAATACAACAAATAAATAAATAAAATTTTTTGGCGCAAAAATTTATTTAAAAAAATTTATTTTTTGTTGGTTCGTGCCAGTCTCTACCGGGCCAGTTTTTCACCTTTTTTTTTAAATTTTTTTTCTCTGTTAATTTTCTCCTTTCCTCTTTTCTGTGACGCGACGACCTTCGCAATATTATATAAAATATATTTAGGCAGTTGTGTAGCCCTACGAGAGCAACAAACACAATTTTTAACAACTACCTTTAAAATATGCCTAGTCCAAAAGATCACCACTACGGTACACTTTGTTTTAGTGGTGATCTTTTGGGTGGGGCTGTCTTTTGGCTGTTTCAGGGGTAAATTGTAGGGGTAAATTTGTGTATGTTAAAGGGGAAATTTTATAAAAATTGGGAAGGTTAAAAAGGCCTTTTAAAAAAACTGGTTTTTCAAAAAAATAATATTTTAGAGAAAATGTTAGAGTATTTTTGTTCTGTTCAAAAAGAGTGTTGCAGCGGTAGTGTTGCTCTCCCTTTGGGGGGGAGTTAATGGAACAAAGAGGGAAAAAAGTTTTTAGAGGGAAAAACAGGTTTGAAACTTGTAGAAGAATTCAAAAAAAGAAAAAAAAATTTTTTTTAATCAGGCTGATAATTTTTGTGTTTATTTGGGTGTGATTTTTAGGTGCTCATTTGGCTGATTAATTAAGGGAAATTAAATTAATTTTGGGGAGATTTGAAAAAAAATTTTTTTGAGAGAAGGGGAAAATGGAGTTGCAATATTCTAATTGTTTATTAAATTAATTAAATATTTTCTGGATAAAAAAGGAGAGGGTTGAAAAGAGGGAAGGGGAAGGGATATGGGAAATGAGGAGGTTGCTCTGATATTAAAAATCAGAATTTTGAAGTCAGAATAAAAAAATCAGAATTTTAAAAATCAAATTTAAAAATCAGAATATTCTGATATGACCAGAACACAAGCCCAACATGAAATCAGAACACCAGAAGAAAAATCAGAATTCTGAGAGTCTGATTGCGTTTGTGACCAAATGGGTGTTTTTCCTCTTGTGGGCATTTTGTCGTTGCTAGTTGATTTTCTTTTTGGTGATCTTTTGGGATCTTCCCTTATTTAAGGTACCCCCAAGATAGGATTTTTTAAAACCTAAGGATATAAGGTTTGTAAAACTGTATACCTACTCGTTTCTACAATTAAATGGGAATTAATAAAATTAAAAAAATAGGAGTGTAGAGAAATTAAAAATATTTTCAATCTCGACCAGTTTTTTTCAAAAAATTTTTTCACCTTTATTTAAAAAATAAATTCATCTCTCTAATTTCCTCATTTTACATAATTTCCAGTTTTAAAAAGAGAGGTGTTCGTTAAATAAAATTTAAAAAATAATTTAATTTTCTGTTTATAGTAGTTGGGGGCGTTGGGGAAGGAGAGAGAGACGGCAATAGATCCCAACTCTATAAAATTGTCAAATTGAGACATAGAAAGGTGAAATTTTGTAGTGATGTTGTCAAGTGTGTTAATTACATTGTCTAAAAATTTGAGAATTTTTGGATTTGTATTTCCCAAGTTATGGCTGAAAAACTTCCGGAAGGTCGAAAAACTATCGTTTTCTGACCTTCCAACACTTTTTCGCCCACAACTTCTGAAATAATAAATCAAAAATTCTGAAATTTTTAAACAAGGTAAATAACACTTTTGAGTATAACCTTGCAAAATTTCAGAACTCTAATTGCTTTTTTGGCTATTTTATGAACCCGCGCCGAAACGGCTGCGCCCCTTGAATTTCCCTCTATAAATCCCTCAAAATTGCTTTTTTTCTAAACAAAAATTTTTTTTCCTTAATTTATTCAAAATTTATACTATTTTGCATTTTAATGCCTTAATATAAGCGAGGGCCAAAATTATTTTTTAAAAATATATTTTTATATTTGCAAAATGATTTGCCGGACAGAAGCACGAAAAATGCAAATTCAGTGAGAATACATTTTTATGTAAATAGGTTACTGTAAAAGGACCCAGAAGATCACTAGAGGAATAAGGAAGGAAGGATTATTCTGGTTTGTTCTGATATTAAAAATCAGCGGTAAAAATCAGAATTAAAAATCGGAATTAAAAATCAGAATTTTAAAGTCAGAATTTAAAATTAGAATTTTGAAAATCAGAACAAAAATCAGAATATTCTGATAATAACAGAACATAGAACTAAAATAAAACTAAAACACCAGAACAAAAATCAGAATCTCAGAATTAAAATCAGAATGTAGATAGAGTCTGGGCCATCTGCGACCAAATGAGTGTTTTTACCTTTGTGGGCATTTTGTCATTTCTAGTTGATTTCCTTTTTAGTGATCTTTTGGGTATTCTAAAAACAATAGGTGACCTTTCCTTATTTGATATTTAGGGTTCTTAAAGACTTAAACTACTTTGGGTGTTGGGGGGAGAGAAGCAAGTTGTTTAGTATTGTTAAAAAGGTAGAGGGGGCCTTATGAATTATTCATGAGGTGACGGCGTTTTTCTTTTTTTTCCTCTAAATTGCATATATTTTTAATATTCTCTCCCTCATATTCTCTCATTTTTTTATTTTTTAAAAATTCCCGTCCAAAAAAATATTAATTATTCATTGGGCCTAGTGTTTGTATTTGTTGTTTTGTTGAGAGTAGTGTTGACTGACCGGGTGAATGAATAAAATGTGAGTGAATAAATAATGAGTGAATGACTGAGAGAGGCAAAAATTGTAGATATTATTGAATGCATTGTTGTGTTAGCCTGCTTTTTATAGCATTTTTGTTTTTAAAAGCGCTTTAAAGCTACGAACATGTTTTTATGAAAAAATAAACTTGGAATTGCGAAATTGTAAAACAAAGTTTAATTGTAAAAATAAACTTTACATAAACTTGAATTTGAAAAATAAACTTGAAATTCAAGTTTAGTTATAAAATAAATTTGAATTTAATTGTAAAACAGGTTTATTTTTTAATTAAGCCTTGTTTTACAATTAAAGTTTAATTAAAAAAATAAACTTGAATTTAATTGTAATAACAAACTTTGATTGCAAAAATAAACTTAAATAAACTTGAATTGTAAAACAAGTTTATTTTTTAATTAAACTTTGTTTTACAATTTAAGTTGTTTGTAAAAATAAACTTTAATTGTAAAAACCTTATTTTTACCCTTATAAAATTCCAACTTGTTTTACTACAAATTAAACTTAATTGTAATTTTAATTAATATTTCCAACAAACTTTCTCATTACAAAAATAAACCTTTTAATTGTAAAAACAACTTTAAATAAACTTTAATTTGTAAAATAAACTTGAATTGCAAAATATAAAGTTGTAATCAAAAACTACGTGATAATAAATAATTATTTTCCTTTTTTTATTATTTATTTCATTTAAACTTTCCAATCTTTTTCTCTCCAAATTGGAATTAATGAGAAAAAAACCCGTTCGCGCTCTCACTTGATTTTTCTCCTCGTCCCTTTCCGGCGTCCTTTACACATACCTAGTTGAAGATCTTGATGCTTTTGCAATGATGACCTTGGTGCTTGTCTGCAGCTGGCTCCAAACCAGTGAAAGAGTGACTGTGAGAAGTTCCACGCACTCTTTTGCACATTTTTTACCCCATCCAAATGCCGCGCATCTTTTTTTTATTTTATGCACCATTTTTATTTTATGCATTTATTTTATGCACCATTTTCTATATTTTAAGTTTATTTTTGTATTTTGATCTCTGGCGTTTCTATTGCCACGAAACTTTTTAGGCGCATTCCTTTATTCTACCATGTTTGAATTATTTTTGTGTATTCCAAGTTTATTTTTGCATTCCAAGTTTAATTTTTATTTTCCAAGTTTATTTTTATATTTCAAGTTTTATTTTCTATATTTCTAAGTTTATTTTACTTTTCCAAGTTTATTTTTATATTTCAAGTTTATTTTTAAGTTTATTTTAACATTCCAGGTTTAATTTTCTGTATTCCAAGTTTATTTTTATATTTCAAGTTTTCAAGTTTAATTTTCTATATTTTAAGTTTATTTTTGTATTTTGATCTCTGGCGTTTCTATTGCCACGAAACTTTTTAGGCGCACACTCTCTCCAATATTAAATATTTCCATGTACTTTTTTCTATTTTAAAATGTCCCTCCTATTTTTTCCCTCATGATTTTTTCCTCATTTATCTTCTTGTTTATTTAAACTTTCTTATTTCAGATACTCTTATTTTCTTTAATTTAAAATTAATTAATTAATACAACTACAAAAATAAAAAAAATGCAGTCAATTTCTGCAAATGAACTGGCTGCTCTAAACAACTTGCAGCAAGCCGCAGCAGTTGCCGCGGCAAATGTTGTTGGAGGGGTTTCTAATTCTGTTGTTTCCTCTCTAGGGGGACCTCCTCCCGTTTCTAGTCAATCTGTTGGGGTTAATAAAAGAATCCTTGGAGGAGTTACTGGAGGGGTACCTTCAACTGTCCACAACAACTACAACAACAACAACTTGCAGCAACTGAATGGGGGAGGGGTTCTACCTCATCAAGCCTCTACAGGCAACTTAGCAGCAGTATCATCTGCTACCAATTCTCTATTAATGCGCTTTACTAAAAGCAATTGTTTCCTCTGTGATCTGCCGAGAATGCCCTGGGCTATTGTGCATGATTATGCTGAGCCTGTATGCAGAGGATGTGTAAATTACGAAGGGGCTGAGAAGTGAGTTTGAAACGGTACTGGGTATAGCTTAGGGCTCCAGCTCCTTATAAGCTCCGGCCACCTCCCTTCGACTAACATTCATTCCAATGAAACTCTTAGATGCAACGAGCTTCGGAGCCGGGCCACTAAACGTCCAATACCCAGCACTGGTCAA